TGCAGCTAGCCGTAATGCACGGAAAGCCTTTTACCGATTCTGAATGGAAACTCCCTACGCAAACCCATCACCTGAACCAAGCAACAATACTACTGTCGGCAAATTACCAAAAATCTCATCAAACAACATGCTTTAGTCTACCGTAGAAATGCTTGAAGTAACTGCGATAACGCAAACCTCAATCAAAAAGCTGCTTCGAAAAAACAAACTTGCCATTTTCCCACCGATAGCCAAATAGAACTGCACAAGTCTGCCTGAGGCCATTGCATTCACAACGCAGGTCATATTCTCTTCAACAGCCTTTTCCAACATTGATGTCAGAAGATCCAACAATTCTACTGGACAATCGAACCTCTGTGGTGGTGTTTCTGTTGCCAAAAATGCGTTCAACAAAGCCCCCGGCGCCGGTCCATCCTTCAAGTGCACCTGCTCCAATCTAGCTGTTGTGCAAGCGTAAAGTCCAATGAGTATCCGATAGATGTCAACAATGTACGAAGGCACATCAAAAACACATCGGCGGATCAGTCCCAAGGGAAGATTACCCCATGTGGCATCAAAAAGTAACAGTTCCACGGGTTTGCTAAATCCACTCGGTATGGCAGATTTGTACGTAGTAAAAAGGTAACGGGCTCGCTGCAGTCGAGTGGATCTTTTGACGTTTTCAAGCTGTGGAATAACACCCGAAACGGCGCTACCTACTGCAACTTCAGTGATTAGACAGGCGAGATCTTCTAGGTCCATTTTAAACAAGGCATCAACAGAAGATTGCGAGGATTCCTTAAGTGGAAGTTTTGGAATTTCCGGCGGTTGTGAAGCGCATACTTTGATAAAGAAGTCAGACATCTCCTCATAGACCTCGATTAAATCATCTTCAGAGCTAGCGCGTCGTGGGTGAGGCAAGGAGAATAGGCAGGTTACACGACTGTTGGATGGAGGATTGGGAGAAACTAATTCAAGGTGCACGTTCTTCGCACTGACAGCCGCTTCACCGAGGAGTTTGAAGCCAAAAGTGAGATCTATCCAATGATGGAGGTTAGCAGAGACCGCATCAGATTCCAGAACGCTGCGGTGGTAGTGAAGAAAGTCAGAAATAGTACCAGAAAACCACTCAGGTAACTGGAGATCGGGCATGTCGGGGTGAATGGAGGTGAAGATCTTGGGATCAGTGAAGAACTCGGGGATGCATTCCTCTGGAGTTGTAGCGTAGAGGCGTTGTAGGCTAGTGGGAAACTCTTCGGGTCGGTATACCGGACGGACGTAGCGTTGAAGATCCTCCACGGAGGTTCGCCGAGCCTGAAACGATGATAGCACTAAGATAGTTTAAGCTGCTGAAAGCAGAAAAAATAAAAATCAGTCCTTATTCCCAGCTAAAGATGGCAAAAGTCCCATCCCACACACTGGACATTACAATGCGGCTTGGAAATAAGTTCGGGATATTTCTTTCCTTGATTCCATTCACTAGAAGTAGCAAAGCTCCATTCCAACACACTTGAAAATTATCCAAAATCGGCAACTATCACCAATGGTTAAATTCATCTTGTCTCTGAGGCTGTACTTAGAGAGGCATGTTTCAATGTCGACCACCCAGATGTTCAGATAATAGTTTAATCAACAAGCCTAAAACATATCGGCCCAAAACTATTAAAAGTAGTAGTCTACTGATGACTTCAGGCCTGACTGTAAATTTAAGCTGGATTTCTTGGAGTAAACGTGAAAAGAAGCATTCTTAGAAGGTTTGACTTGGTATACCTAGAGAAACTGAATAGCGAGAGATTCTATGACATTAAACAAACGCTTCGCGGTTTTCCTTAAGGACTGCCATTGTACAAAAATGGAACTTGAAAAAGCAATATTAGTTAATCTCAAGGTTATGTGACAGATTTTTTTCAAAGACAACATGAGGAATACATATGTCATGCTGACTGAATATGGATGAAGCCCCAAAACTGAGCGACCGCTGTCGCCTACATGGTTATTTAGTTTACAGCATCCATTATCGCAAAA